CAAAGCTAAATAAGAATTCCCCCCCCAGCTGGCATTTGTTGAAGATATTGCTAATTATCTTCTTATCTTATAGAATTCCACTGTTTTCACTACCTCCCCCCCTCAGGTCAGTAAGAACTGGATTTCAAGGCTGATTAAATGTTGTATGGAGCTCTGAAGCCACTATTCCAGATGCTATAATCATGACCAGGCCAAGTGTAAAGATCAGCAGGTTATAAAGGATTGATTTAAGATCTTAAAAGATACAATTGCTGAGCATGGGATTATGCTAGAGGATATGTACAACTTTGATGAGACTGGCTTTGCTATGGGGCTCTGTGCCACTATTAAGATTATTACTAGTAGTAAGCACTATGGTAGAGCAAAGCTCCTATAGCCTGGAAACTATGAATAGATGACTGTAATTAAATTAATTAACACATCAGGATGAGCTCTACCTCTCTATCTCATTCTCAAAGGCCAGGGCTTGTTGGAAGATTGGTTTGAAGGCTTTCCAGAAGACTGGAGGCTAGATGTCAGTCTAAATGGCTAAACTACTGATGAAATAGGTCTGAAATGGCTTCAACAGATGTTTATTCCAGCAGCAGATCCTTGCAGAGTTGGCAGATCTATCCTTTTTATCCTGGATAGACATAGCAGTCACTTTACTTCAGAATTTGATCAAATCTGCAAGAATAATGCTATAATATGTCTTTGCATGCTACTTCATTCCTCTTATATTCTGCAGCTACTAGATGTGAGTGTTTTTTCAATTTTAAAGTGAGTGTATGGAGATCTAGTTCAGGAGTGAATATAGCTTAGATTTAATGTCATTCAGAAGGCAGATTTTCTAGATACATATCTTGCAGTATGTACTGCAGCTTTCAAACCTCAGATTATTCAACATAACTTCAAAGCAACTGGAATAATGCTCTTTCAGCCTGACTATATCCTTCAGCAGCTGGATATTCAACTATGGACCTCTACCTCCTCATATAGTAGCTTTAGCAATTCAACTATATCCTGAGTGCTTTAAACACTTAGTAATCTCCAGCAATTACACTGGCAGATAATAAGATTAAAAACTTAGTAAAGGATTAGCCTCAAGGCTTTGTGGAAGGTTTTGACTAAATTATCAAAGCCTGTGAATATAGGATAGTCAGTGCTACAATTATAAAAAAGCAATATCAGAATATATTCAATATCAATGAGATAGAGAAGCAAAAGCGCAAGAGATCTAAGCGCTAAATTGAGCAGGAAGTAGAAGGTTTAACTAGTGAAGAAGTTCAAAGTCTTCTAGTAGGCCCTATAGAGCCTACAGAGTTTGTTGAACAGCTAGTTATTTAATCCTCCAAGCCTTTAGCTACTGAGCCTGCAGTATATATATGAGCACTATGAAGATGTAGCAATTGTGGAATGCTTAAGCATACAAGACTAAGATACTCTCAATCAAGTATAATTTAATTTAATTTAATTGAGCTTTATTATGTTGAGATAATTTGAATTAAAAACTACTTAGTTGAGATACAGTGAATTTGCTGACTAACTCAGTATGGTAGTCAATTCAGTATGGAATTACATTAACTAACTGAGCTCTAGTAATTGATTTCATAATCAATCTCTAGTTAGATTCTTATATATGAGGATCTGTCACCTTAATATGAACCATCACCTTAACATAAAATATTTTTTTATCCAGAATATTCAATTAATTTATCAATGAATATAACAAAATTCATTAAATATAACTTGATTATACAGTAGATAATCTATTTATGACTTTTTCTAGTAAATTTAATAACTTTGATATTAATATTTTTATCTCTATAATATTATTTAAGTTTTATTATAACTTTCCTTCATTTCAGATACAACTTCTCTAATGCTTTTTAATTATCAAGCTTTTGATGAATGACTATCATCTTGCATATATTAGATGTGAATATGATTTCTTTCTTATATATTATTCTTCAGAATACTTATTAATGATATTCATAAGCTACAATGATTGTAGTAGTTTTTAAGAGCTTATTCTGCAGAAGAGTCACTATATTAATTATCAAAATACTACTTTTATAGAGCTTCTATAGCTCAATTTAAATATATTTATATTTTTTAATATTTTTTATAATTATCAATTTGCATTTATATCAGTTAAATTGATATATAATTGAAGGAATATATTTAATCAAAAAGTCTATAAAAATAAATATAAATAAACTCATATAATTTATTAAAAATAATAAATAAATTAAATAAAATTAAATCTGTTACTTTTTATTCTCTATTGATTGTATAAATTCTAAATATCATACTTTGTATAAAAATGATAATATGAAAAAATTCAACTTTTATAAATTTCTTATAATTATATTTTATTACTTCTTTAATTATCAATAAATAATAATATATAAATATTTGAAAAATCTTTTTATTCAAAGGCTGTAATAGATGATTCATATGTAAAATAAGATAGAAGAGAATGATATTATTTTTATTATAATAATTCATAGACTCATATATATAGTGAAAGTCAAAGTCATTTAATAGAAGCAGATGATGAGGTTCTTTGATATAATTCTTTATAGAGTGATATCATAGTTTCAATCTAAGCACAGATGAAACAAGTATTTAATTATTAGTTATATAAATTATTTAGATAAAGTACTAAGATGATTTCTAGAAGATAAGTTCAGGAAAAACTCTGTTTATATAGCTCTTTTCTTAGTATAATTGCTTTTTTTTTAGTATTATTACTAGGCAGTTCTTATGTTTATAGATTATTTATTTATAGGATAATTGTGAAGTTAATTGCTATACTGTTGTTAAGGAGTTGCAATTATCAATTAATATTAGTTCAGTTATTTTACACTATTAATTAGTCTTGACAGAGTCTGTTCTACGCTATTACAAGTGATAGAAGTGTTAAATCCATTGAAAAAAGATTTAATCATTATTATAATTAGTATCTGATATACTCATCATGATATTCTTCTCAATCTTATTAATTCAGCACTTATATAATTATTTTATATTAAAAATATATTAAAAAAATTATAAAGTTATCTGTTAATATTATTTCAATGATTATAAGATTTTCTCTATTATTTGAACTTTCCACATAAGTCTGTCTTTGAGAATCTTATTTAATTTCTATTCTAAACTTTGTTTCATCAAAGTTATAGATGTCATTAAGTTGAGTTTCAAACTTATTCACTATATTTTTAAAATGATTAAATTAATCAAATATGAATGATGATTTATAAACTTGCTTTCTTACCATGTCAATAGTCTTCTGTCATCATATATTGTATTCAGAATGATATTTGATGAATCATTTAACTCAATATTCTTTAATCTCAGATGAAAGATTAATGAAATCTTCATAACTCTCTGCAAGAACAAATCAAGTATCATCAAGTATCATTGATTGATTGAGAAATAGATCTATTTTATCTAGTGTTTCTATATGCTGACAGAGTGATTTTTCCTGGCCAGAAGATAGTAATTGATTAGCAGGAGCTCTTTTGATGTGAGAGAGGTAGCTATGAAATTAATTGATTAAATGTGAATAAGAAACATTGAATTCTCTTACCAATACACTAATATTGTTAGGCTCGGCGCCGAGGCTAGGTTTATCCCCATCACGTGACCACGCCCCACATGGGACCTAGCGGATCGGCCGTGATCCGGTCACGTGATCACATGGGCTGTTTATAACCTGAGCAGACCCTGACACCCCTTTTTCCTCACCAACCTTAGTATTTCGTTATATAGCAGTTAGCAACGCAGAGAGCTTCCTTCTTATGCAGCTCGCATTCGCTCCCTAACAAATATTAAAATTTTCAACATCAAGTATGAATTCTAGAGCTTCTGTGATCTTATTCTCTATTAAAATATATGAAGAAGTCATTGCATTGACTGGTTATTGAATTTTGAAGATGGAATAGAGTATCTAAGAAAATATTTCACGTTGAGGTGGCGGACCCTCGTATGCGAGGGTCCGACCGGAGGTTGATTATGAAATCAACCACTAGGGCCGGGTTAGTAGTAATTATATAGCTGCTAAACATAAAAGAACACCATGTGGTAATTCTTGTAATTCTGATGTAAATTAAATTTGAATAATAACAATAATAATAATTATTATTATTATTATTTATATATTTTGATTATTTGCTCTGAAGGGTTATCTGCCCAGTGGTGGATTAACTTAACTTAGTTGGGTTACCTGGGTAAGGCGCGCAGACTGGCCTATCAATGCCGTCCAGCACATCCAAAATAAGCCGAAAAATGAGGCAGGAGAATACGCAGACAGACGTCAGAGGCTAGGATCCGCATGTTGATTGGCATCTATGTCATTGGGTTTGATATTGTCTATGATGCGGTGGTTGATTCCCATGGAGCCCTATCAACGGCTAACCGGTTAGTTATGCCGTAATACTCTAGAAACTAACTATTACTTATACTCTCTTTTCTCTCCATTCGACTCCCCAGTTCACCAGTTAAACATTTTTAACGTTGTATATGCTTGTCTTAACCACGGAGTATATCTGCGGATAATACGCGTTGTATTGACTAGAAGCGCAGTCAAGGCCATGGGGTGTTAAAACTTGACACCCAACACGTTCGAACAGCGCGAGTCTTCGATGTCATTAGCTATGTCTTTGACAGGCTGTGTATACAGTATACAATCTTGTACTCTGTAATTTTTTTTCATTATCCTTTCCTCAAATAATTGGTAGAAGGAATAACTTACCAAAGCCACAAAATCGACAGATGTAGAAAAACGTAAATACAGTTCCTAAAGCGGGTTTAAATATTGGTGCGAGTGGTTCAAGGACGCGCCAAACTCGACTAGATAATTTAACTATTCGGCGCGGAGATCCGCTTTGAATCAGATATATGTCGAGTATATCAAATCACCAAACCAAATAAATACATCTAACGTAATGCCTATTTATTAATTTATACCATTATGTTCAATACATGAATGTACATCTGAAAATGCACTGAACAAAATGCGTTTCAGAAGTCAGCTCATCAATATTAATACTTTTGCCAGTGCGTATTATTCCCAAGACGTACTCTACGTTCAATAAGATGATCCTAACCCTATCCTCGCAGAATTCACCGCGTCTTTATCATCACTGGGTAAAATATGCTGGGTTCGATTGGAAGATGAGGTTGTCCGTTTCACCATCATCCCCGACCAGGGAACCCAGGTCTGGGCCCAATTGCCAATTGTGCGTGGAACTACCCTATAGGGACATTCTTCTTCCATATATCACCGGGACTCAAAGGGAGAAAGGAAAAGATATATCCACAATGAATCAGTGGAACTTATATATTATCCTATGCTGCATTATAGGACACAGTCTTTGAATCCTACTCCGTAAGCGCTGCATCAGGCGTTATCAATCTCGAAGTCCCCATCGGTGCTCTCCACCGCGCCCTCCGCTCAGCATCAAGTGCAACATCAGCACAGCTACGACTAACCAAGAAGGGTTCACTCCCTTTACTGGCACTGACAATTGTGGCTTCATCATGGACATCGGGAAAGAATGCCCTTGGAGTGGGCGACAGCAATAGCACCCACGATAGTATTTCTCCTTCCAGTGGGATGCCAATGGTCCCAACACCCAGCCAACATCCAACTAACAGCAGCAACAGCAGCAAACCCAAACCATACCGACGGCCCCCGCGAACGCGAAACGGTAATAACCCAAGAAATCCCCGTCCGCGTCCTCCCCCCATCGATCGTTGAGGGCCTGCACGAACCCCGCTGCCGCAGTCCAGATGTCCACATTGTGCTCCCCAGCCTCATTCAACTGAAAAGCATATCAGAACGCTTCACCAAGCTAGCCATGGACTCTGCCGCCAAAAGCATCATCAGTACAACAACTTTTACTTCAACACAAGGAGCCGGGGCTGGTTCCACTGCTTCGAATAGTAGCCCCAAGCTAGAACTATCCGCCAACATGCACGGCTCATTGAAGCTTTCTATAGCTACAGACACGCTGCGCATCTCGAGTGTGTGGACCGGACTGCTAAATCCACCACTGGATCTGGCGCAGTTGTCTCAAAACGAGCTGGAGCAGTTGCCTAGTGAGCGGATGAGGGAGTTGGGTGGGGAGAACGGGGAGGGGGAGGAGGGGTGGGCGAAGGTGAGGATTGATGGGAAAGATTGGGGGAGGGTGTTGAGTGTTGGGCGGTTGAGTCCGAGGGTTGTTGCGTGTAAGCTTATATTTCTTTCCTTTTCCTTTATATTCCCTTGATAAGGTATATATGTCTGGGTACCTATCGTGCCCTGTTTCTGTGACACTGCTATTTAATGAGCACCACAGATTGAGCAAATTGTGTTACGGTGCCATGCATATATAGTGACCTTATGTATGACAAATGTATCCCCCAACTATCGAATGCTAATCACCCTTCAATACCTTTTTTCCCCCCAAAACTACAGGTTTTATACACGAGACAGCCCTGATTCTCTACGTATATTTACCCGACTGCGGAAGTGGGGAGGACTCATGTTTGACGGTAAGTTTAAATAAAGCCGCGTTCAGTCCTCAATGTATATCATCATTTTAATATTTTCACCTGTCTTCTATAGTATTATATCAACTCCTACGCCGTCTGAGCTCGAAAAAATTACATATCCACCTGATGCCGTTTCGTGCGGCAAAACCCATACGAATCTGCCCAGCTCTGTGTTTAGGTCTTGCTACATTCTCTTTTACGAATTCATCTTCATGACTTTACCTGACGTGACGATTTAACTTGCCTTGTTTACCCCTACCAAATATGGTTGTATGCAGTAAAATGCTGGCTCTTGATAAGGAAGTTGGGGAACTTCAGATAGAAATAAACCCTTGAGATACCCATCTAAATCAATAATGTTCACATTGTCATCGATTGTCTATACCCGTGACACATGTGCGGACGTCCATGTATATATCAACCACCATCCACTCACTTTCCCGGTTTCTTTTTCCTTTTAACTGCTGTCTAGCTACCTAATACCGAAACTGCAACTTGACTCAACCAACTAGGATCTAGGTAATCTTCTCCAAGCGACCGTGAAAACGGATCAGTAGATATTAGCTTCAGTTTGGTTGATTGACTATTGGATGCGGTGTTCAGAAAGTTGAGAGACGTAAATGAACACCATTGAATGTTTCTACGACGGGGTTTGGAGGTAATAAAAGTAAAAGCAGAACACGAAATTTATCAAGAATTTCAACGGCTTCAATGATCTCACCAAATTATATGCGATATGTATAAGGGGTTGAAATTATTAAAATATATAAGTGGGGGCAAAACGGAATAATACAGAACAAGCCTAGGGCAGGGAATATAAGAATGGAAGGCAAGAAAGGGAAAAAGAAAAAAAAAAAACCTAATATAAGCCAATTACTTTCTTCCTTCTCACGCACTATTATATAGACGTCAATTACCGAGAATGTATGGGCCAGGGGACCAAAAAAAGCATAAAGGAAGCCAAAAGGGAAGAAGGAAAAGACGACATCCAATCACTATACGGGGGAATTGAGCACAACGTAGCTGCCATGAGGACCGGGAATATTGGGAAGAGTGAGAAAGAAGTATGGAAATATGAGAACTAATAAAACAAAACTTCCCTTGCTAAGCAGGTCAAATTGTAGGCTGATATGAAAATGGATAGCATTTGGAAACCTCAAAATTGCAAAGCAAATAATAGAGGAGTCCACGAATTACGCTCGGATGCTGTTGCGAGAGCAAAAAAAAAAAAAAAAAAGTCACGCATAGTTTTATCAGCATGAATAAACTAAGAGCGGGACGTTGATGATAGCGCTATATACACCGAAAGGCGAGTTTTTCTTTTCTTTCCAGTAGCGTAGGACTCATTCAGTTAGATATATCCATAACGTTCGTTCCCGGATGGCAGAATCGGTTACTTTGCCATAACATCAACGTAGCCTCGGCCCTTCTTCTTTCCCCTAATGGTACTGCCCTTTCTAGCCTGTGGAGCTCCGATTAGGTCATCGATGGAGCTTGCATTACTTAAGGCCGTTCCTGGTCTGGTTGGTGGTCCTGCTGAGACAGACACAGGTGTCAGGTATGGACTTGCTGAGGGTGGCAAGGATGGTGATCCAGGGCTCAAGTTTTGAGGTGACGAGTCCCCAGATGGTGAAAGTGATCCCTTTGATGGATTGGGAGGTGGAGCAAGGCTTGGAGCCAAGGCTAGTGTGGGAATACCAGTTCCAGGAGGAGGGGTCGCATTATTGGCACCTGCAGACCGGCTGGGTGGAGCTGTCCCCTTGGGTGGTGGCGGCGTAGAGAGAGCAGTTGCAGTGGCGCTACTCGGGTCTTTCTTATTGACCCATCTCTTCAGTTCTTTATCGTAGTAGAATGAATTCTCTTCACCAAGCTTTGCTCGAATTGGACCTCCCCCGCTAGCATTCGTGTCTTTCTTACCCCACCACGCGAACCATCCTTTCTTCTCTGGGACGGGCTTTTTGGCTGTGGAATTAAAGATCTATGGTTACTATTTATGAAATAGATGTTTGGGATGAAGGACAGCTTACCATCTTCCTCAGCAGCCTTTTTAAATGCCTCGTCAGCTTCGCGATCTTTGCGTGTTTTCTCAGCCCTCTTGGCGGCTGCTTCACGAGCGGCCAAATCATCATCATCCTCATCATCCATGAATGATCTCTTTGGTTTTTCCTTGTCTGAGTCTCCATCATCCATGGGTTCAGGCTCATACGTCGGGGGCTCGTAGCCAGTTGTCCCTGTTGGAGGCTCATACCCGGCATTCCGGGCAGCAGCACCACTAAGTCCCTCTCGGGTGGTAGGTTGTTGGTTGAAGTTGGGTTGGTATCCACCAAAGCTACTGGGTTGTTCAGGAGCCTGTTCATCTGAACTTTGAGTGGATTGGATTTCCTCCACCGGGGCTAGGTGAGCGTATGCTGATTGTTGTGGAGGCGTCGAGTTTCTCCCGTATGCCGATGGTGGACTATAGACATTTTGTTGCGACATGGGATTGTAATTAATGTCCGAAATACTACTGCGTTCTTGGGACAGGCCTCGTTGAGAGTAAGAGCGACCAGTAGATGGCGGTGATCTCTGCGAGTCAAGAGACGCGCGACCACGGTACTGATCTGGCGATGAATAAGGAGCATACTGATTTCCGGCAGCATAACGAGACGTCGACGACATTGAAAGAATTGGCTGACCAGCAGCGAAATACGGCCCAAAGGTGTCATTGACAGAAGGCGAACGGCTAACCGGAGGAGTGCCCACCATTTTAGCAAATGGTCCAATGTCTGCGTCTGCTGGTTTCCCAGATGCAGTGGAGTTACCATCGCTGTCATCGCCGACGACGAAACTGTTGAATTTCGCCAGAATAGAACCAGAGACTTTCTCCATGTTGGGTTTTGACATCCATGAAGACCCGCCAGCAGGGGCTTGTCTTAAGCGGTTGGCAAGCTCATCCAGTTCGAAGTAAAACCGTTGATGATAGTACAGTGAAGGCTTGGTTGTTGATTTTAGGATTGCACCAATAGCGTCACAGTATTGCTGAGCCTCGGCCTTACTGCCATTTTCCGCGAGGGAAAATGCATATTTGAGTTTAAATGCCTGCAAATGCGGTACTACTACAGTTGCTGCACCTGGCAATACGGAGAGCGCAAACTCGTAGACTTCAGTAAGAAGAATAGAATCTCGGTCATTCACGAATGTGAACGGATACCTGCGGTGGTCCGCACCAAGGAGTACAATCTGTGACTGCGGATCATCAGGGCCGGCAAAGGCCAGAGGAACGGATGCAGATTTCGCAAATACTGCACAGATATGAGACGCTTCTATCCTTCCATAGGATGAGAGCAACCGAGAAAGAGCAAGAAGAGCAACATGATCGTCAGGACTTCTGTTGCTCAGAATTAAACACAATGTCTCTTGCCATTTATCAAGTCCACAGAGTGCGTTCTTAGGGTGACCGGGGCTTTGGGTTTTGCTAACCATCTGCAAGCCCGCACGGGCAGAAGGTGGGACCAACTCATCGACACTCTCTTCCATATTGCCGGCGAAAATCTCGTAAAGTGCAGCCAATGACTCAGTATTGTCACCAGCAGTCCTGACTTCCCGTCTGATGAATTCTTGCATCACCTGTTTCCAGACGGACTTATCCAATGTTGATGACATTAACATAGCATGGCCCCATAGGCGCCGATCAACGGCTTCCCAAACGGCTTTCTCCCTTCCACCAGTTAGGAGGCATCTGCGAATGCTTTCCATCCCATTCACGCTTGCCGGCTCCGATTGGGTTGTGCCGTTTATAGTTTCATATACGCTAGAATGCTGGGTAGAATGTCCGAAATCCCGCGATGATGGCCTGGTCATGTCAGGGACCGGAGATAGAATGGAATGCACGGCATTGTCGACCTCTGCATTACCTCCCAAAAGGCCATCGTGTTCAACCATGACCCGTATCAGTTTCCAAAGAAGAATCTTCTCATTATGTTGCTGCTGAGTCGAGACCTCCAGGTAGGCAAGTTCATTTTCGAACCTAGAAATCATAGCTGACAACCATGCAATGACGTCTTTCTTCTTGGATTTCGACCTCAAGGGTCCCGGGAACTTAGCGCTTGGCTCTATCTGCGCAATAACGTCGCCCACGAAACGAACTTTGGTATCCCCGGGGCTTGATTTTATTTTGGGAACAAGTTGACCAGTTGCATATCGGGGAATGTGTTTCGGGAACGAGCTGGCAATTACACCCCCAAAACCAAACTTAAATATTGGTGCTCCTTTCCAACGTTCAAGTGGATCAAGTTCCTGTCCGTCGGTTGGATAAATAAAATCTAGTTGCGGCGTAAAGGCTTCTTTGATCAATGGTTGAGGTTGGAGTTGGAGAGGTGGTATTGGGCTGTGAACTGACGCAGGTATTTGGAAAGGTTCCGGTACGCTTGCTACGCTAGATTCGCACTGTAACTTGCCTGGTGACGAGGTCCGGGAATTCCTGGGAGTTCTGGGCGGTTGATTCTCAGGAGATTGTTGGAGCTTAACTGATGCAGGTGGATGTGGGGGATAAGAAGGAACTGAGGCGGCTGCTGGTGTAGTTTGAGCGTGATACGCTGGTTCGAAAGGATTGCGATCTGACGGAAGGGATGGCGAGAGGCGATCCGCAAACTGAGTAGAGGATCCGGTTCTACGGCTCGTTAGGGGTAGATATTCGTTAGCCGGTGGGTTTTGAGCGGTTTCATTTCGTAGGCTACTATGCGGAGAGCGAGTGAGATCGGATGGTTGACGGGTACCAGGTCCAGGGAAGAATGGAGGACCATTTTCATTTTCAGACTGTGAATGGCTGGGCTGGGCGTGGGACCCATATTCATGATATGCAAGGGGACTCGAGGTCCTTGGCTGAAATGGGTGTGAGGGGGAATAGCTTGTCACAGGCTGAGAAGAATATCTATTTGAAGCAGGAGGCGCGGTGGATGGTGGTGGAACAGGTGAGTATCTTGGAGAGGAAAGAGGTCTTGATCCAGGGTGGACAGCCGGTGGTCTTGGGGAATATCGGCCGGATGGACCAGAAATTGTCCGACCAGTGGGGACCGGAAGAGTGGAATAGGGATCTAGCCGCTCGGGATTTTGCAATTGATA